GGAAAAACAGAGGGCGGAGCGAGCGGAGCGGGCAGAGCGGGCGGAGGGCCCGGGCATGCACTGGGGCCCTTTAAAGTCAGCTGACAAGCCACATCCATGAGCCGTGGACCATGAGCCAATGGGGCCAGGAGCCATGGGTTCATTGGGGGACGGGGTGCGTGGGGGGTGGGGGTGGGGGTTGGAAGTGTGGGTGGGTGGGGGTGGGGGTTGGGGGTGGGGGTTGGGGGTTGGGGGTGGCAGGGTGCGTTCGGTGTGGGGGTGGGGGTTGGGGGACGCCAGGAGCAAGGGGCCCATGACAAGCACGGGGCGGCGGGGCAGGGTGCGTGCGGGGTGGGGGTGGGGGTTGCGGGTGGGGGGTGGAGCAGGGGCCAGGAGCCATGGGTCCATGAAAAGCATGGCGGGGGGGAATGCATGCGGAAAGGGCGGATGGGCGGGGAGCGGGTGCGTGGGTGGTGGGGGTAGGGGCGGAGGGGAGCCATGGGGCCAGATGGGCGGCAGGGTGTAAGGGGTAGGGAGCTGGGTCCATGAGGGGTAGGTCAAGGGATGGAGAGTGGGAGCATGGGCCAAAGGAGAGTGAGTAGGCGGAGCTGGAAGGGCGGAGGGCGGAGCGGGCGGAGCGGGCGGAGCGGGCGGAGGGCCCGGGCATGCACTGGGGCCTTTAAAGTCAGCTGAGAAGCCACATCCATGGGCCGTGGACCGTGAGCCATGGGGAGCCATGGGGCCAGGAGCCATGGGTCCATGAGGGGGGGGTAGGGAGCTGGGTCCATGAGGGGTAGGTCAAGGGGATGGAGAGTGGGAGCATGGGCCAGAGGGGAGTAGGCGGAGCTGGAAGGGCGGAGGGCGGAGCGAGCGGAGCGGGCGGAGCGGGCGGAGGGTTGGGCATGCACTGGGGCCCTTTAAAGTCATGGGAGCAAGGGGCCCATGACAAGCACGGGCGGCGGGGCAGGGTGCGTGCGGGGTGGGGGTGGGGGTTGCGGGTGGGGGTGGAGCAGCTCAAGGGATGAAGAATGGCCAGGAGGCATGCGTCCATGAAAAGCATGGCGGGGTGCGTGGGGGGCTTGGGCAAGGGGAATGTATGCGGAGATGGGCGGGGAGCGGGTGCGTGGGTGGTGGGGGTAGGGGAGCCATGGGGCCAGGAGCCATGGGTCCATGAGGGGCATGGGCGGCGGGGCAGGGTGTGTGAGGGGTAAGGGGTAGGGAGCTGGGTCCATGAGGGGTAGGTCAAGGGGATGGAGAGTGGGAAAAGGAGAGTGAGTAGGCGGACTGTGGGCGCCAATGGGGCCAGGAGCCATGGGTCCAGTGGGGGGCGGGGTGCGTGGGGGGTGGGGGTGGGGGTTGGAAGTGCAGGTGGTGCGTGGGGGTGGGGTGGGGGTTGGGGGTGGCAGGGTGCGTCGCGGATGGGGGTGGGGGTTGGGGGTTGGGGTGGAGCAGGGGCCATATATAGGACCAGCATTGGCAGCCATGCAGGTCGAGGGATGAAGAATGGGACCAGGAGGCAATGCCAGGAGCCATGGGTCCAGTGGGGGGGCGGGTGGGGGTTGGAAAGGGTGGGGTGTGTGGGGGTGGGGGTTGGGGGGCGGGGCAGGGTGCGTGCTGGGGGTGGGGGTTGCGGGTGGGGGTGGAGCAGCTCAAGGGATGAAGAATGGTCCATGAAAAGCATGGCGGGGTGCGTGGGGGGCTTGGGCAAGGGGAATGTATGCGGATGGGCGTGGAGCGGGTGCGTGGGTGGTGGGGGTAGGGGCGGAGGGGAGCCATGGGGCCAGGAGCCATGGGTCCATGAGGGGCACGGGGCAGGGTGCGTGAGGGGTAAGGGGTAGGGAGCTGGGTCCATGAGGGGTAGGTCAAAGGGATGGAGTGGGAGCATGGGCCAAAAGAGAGTGAGTAGGGGGAGCTGAAAGGGCTCCATGGGCCGTGGACCATGAGCCATGGGGAGCCATGGGGCCAGGAGCCATGGGTCCATGAGGGGCATGGGTGCGTGAGGGGAAGGGGGAGGGAGCTGGGTCCATGAGGGGCAGGTCAAGGGGATGGAGAGTGGGAGCATGGGCCAGAGGAGAGTAGGCGGAGCTGGAAGGGCGGAGGGCGGAGCGAGCGGAGCGGGCGGAGCGGGCGGAGGGCCCGGGCATGCACTGGGGCCCTTTAAAGTCAGCTGAGAAGCCACATCCATGGGAGCAAGGGGCGGCGGGGCAGGGTGCGTGCGGGGTGAGTGGGAGCATGGGCCAAAGGACAGTGAGTAGGCGGAGCTGGAAGGGTGGAGGGCGGAGTGGGCGGAGCGGGCGGAGCGGGCGGAGGGGGCCGGCCATGCACTGGGGCCTTTAAAGTCAGCTGAGAAGCCACATCCATGGGCCGTGGACCATGAGCCAATGGGGCCAGGAGCCAGTGGGGGGCGGGGTGCGTGGGGGGGTGGGGGTGGGGGTTGGAAGTGTGGGTGCGTGGGGGTGGGGGTGGTGGCAGGGTGCGTGCGGGGTGGGGGTGGGGGTTGGGGGTGGGGTGGAGCAGGGGCCATTTTTGACCAGCATTGGCAGCCATGCAGGTTGAGGGATGAAGAATGGGAGCATTGGCAGCCATGCAGGTCGAGGGATAAAGAATGGGACCAGGAGCCATGGCTCCATGAGAAGCATGGCGGGGTGCGTGGGGGGCTGGGAGAGCGGGAAGGGCGGATGGGGCGGGGAACGGTGGTGCGTGGGTGGTGGGGGTAGAGCAAGCGGGCCAAGCGGGGGGAGGGAGGTCGAGGGGATGGAGAGTGGGAGCATGATGGTGGGTGGGGGGGTGGGGTTTGGGCAGGGAAGGAGTATGGAGCGGGGAAGGGAGGATGGGCGGGGGGGGGGGTGCGTGGGTGGTGGGGGTGGACAGGGGCAGGAGCATGGATGGGACCAGGAGCCAGGGTCCATGAGAAGCGTGGCGGGGTGCGTGGGGGGCTTGGGCAAGGGAGGGAGTATGCGGAGCGGGAAGGGCGGATGGGCGGGGGGCGGGGTGCGTGGGTGGTGGGGTAGGGCAAGCGGCGGGCATGCACTGGGAGGGCCTGGGTCCTGAGAAGCATGGGGGGTGTGTGGGGGGCTTGGGCAAGGGAAGGAGCGGGGGGAGGGGTGCGTGGGGGGTGGGTGGAGCAGGGCCATAAATAGGACGGATGAAGATAGGACCCGGGCCATGGGTCCATGAGAAGCATGGCGGGGTGCGTGGGGGGCTTGGGCAAGGGGGGGAGTATGCGGAGCGGGAAGGGCGGATGGACGGAGGGCGGGGGGGTGCGTGGGGTGGTGGGGGTAGGGCAAGCGGGCGGACATGCACGGGGGACGGTCGAGCTTGATGAGAATGGGCCAGGGTCCATGAGAAGCATGGCGGGGTGCGTGGGGGGATGGCAAGGGAAGGCGTATGGGAGCAGGAAGGGCGGTGGGCGGGGGGGGGGGTGCTGGGTGGTGGGGGGGAGCAGGGCATAAATAGGAGGGATGAAGAATGCGACCAGGAGCCATGGGTCCATGAGAAGCATGGCGGGGTGCGTGGAGGGCTTTGGGCAAGGGCGGAAGTATGCGGAGCGGGAAGGGCGGATGGACGGGGCGGGGTGCGTGGGTGGTGGGGGTAGGGCAAGCGGGCGGCCATGCACTGCCGGTCGAGCTTGGGATGAAGAATGGGACCAGGAGCCATGGGTCCATGAGAAGCATGGCGGGGTGCGTGGGGGGCTTGGGCAAGGGAAGGAGTATGCGGAGCGGGGAGGGCGGATGGGCGGGGGGCGGGGTGCGTGGGTGGTGGGGGTAGGGCAAGCGGGCGGGCATGCACTGGGAGTGGGAGGAGCCGTGGGTCCATGAGAAGCATGGCGGGGTGCGTGGGGGGCTTGGGCAAGGGAAGGAGCGGGGGGCGGGGTGCGTGGGTGGTGGGGGTAGGGCAAGCGGGCGGGCCTGCACTGGGGGCCGGTCGAGCTTTGGATGGGGCGGAGTAGGTGGTAGGGGCAATGGGTCTTCACTGACGCCGCCCCCGCTCCGGCTGGGGTCGGCGGATACAACAGTAGCCTCAAAGCACGAGTGGCCTGTGCTGGGCTTGCAGATCGTTGAAGGTGCGGGTTCTTTGTGCTGTGAGGGGCCTCTGCAAAGCCATGTGAAGCCTATCCGAGGACGGCGAGGCGGCTGCAATCGCAGACACCGCATCGAAGGGGGAAGAAGGCTGGACAGAGGCAGCCCGCCCTGCATGAAGTAAGGTTTTGGCAGCCCTCGCCCTTTCGCTCTCTGCTCGCATTCCAATGAGTCCTTGGCCGGCCCGTAGGACACCGTAAGCCATAGGCCTCTTAGAAGAAGTGAGACGCTTGTTGAATGCTTGTGGAATGCTTGTCGAAGAACATCCGCCAAGAGTAAACGAAGCCCAGCGGCCTGAGGAAGGCGGTTCACCACAGGCGGTCCCTGTGGTGGGACAGGAGGACCCGTGTCAGACGAAGTCCAGCCAGCATTCCAGGGCTGTACATTCGGCTGTGCATTCCAAAATATGGGGTTTTTGGGCAGCGGGCAAGTCTCGGGCGCTGCCGCTCTCCATGTGACTGGATTCAGAGCTTCTGCGAAGATGTATGCGCAGTTGCTCAGGACACCGCCTGTGATGCTGACCCCTTGATAATGAGGCGCTGAGAGGTTCTGCAGTTGAATTAGGGAAGGCTTTCGCGGTGAGGCGTTGCTGAAACGAGTAGTCGTTCAGTGGCAGAGTTATGACTTCGGAGTAGTTCTTCGGAGTACATGTGCGGAGGTTCACCAGTTGCAGCAGTTGTAGTCTGCCCGAGGGCAGCGCGCCTTGAAAGGCCCGAGACGCGCGAGATCTGCCGACATTTTCTACAAGGTCCACACTGCTCGAAGCCTTCAAAAGCATAGCAAATGTAGGAAGCTCGAGCTGCTAGCCGAGAAGCGAGGCAAGTGCGGACGAAACCGATGCCGCTTTCGCCATGATGTGGAGCGCCTCGAGGAGCGCAAGCTTGAGGGATCTCGGAGGAATCTCGAAACACTTCCCGTCCCTTCCCTGAGTCTCAGCGACCGTGTTTGACTCAAGGGCTTCGGAAGGCTTTGGGGTCCAGGTTGCCTGTGAAGTTGCCAGTGCGCTCCGGCCTTCTTGCTGCGCCCGCACCGATGCTCCGACGCACCCGGCCCTCTTGTGGTGCACGCCCGTGCCGACACCGATACACCGGCACATCGCTCCGGGGCCTCTGATGCAAGGTGCCCTCAACCCCGTCAGATTCCGCGTCTCGGCGTTTTTCCCTTCCTCCTCTGAAGTCGCAAAGCTGAGGAGAGCTCTCAGACAGACGAGGCTCTGGGAACAGCAGTGTGAAAAAAACCAAAAGGAGAAAAAGTAGAGACTGTGCGGAGTGCTGCAGGGATGTGGGGATTCGCGTTGTTACGCGTTGTTGGAGTTGTGTTGCGCGTGCCGTGTTGCGGCTCCTTTCAACTCTGCGTGATGTTCATGACATAGCTGAGCGGTTGGGAGATGTCGGGAGTTTGGATGCAGTTTCTCTCCCCCTAGCCTATCCCATCCACCCACTCCTCACGTAGAATGAGTTGCAGATCTGTGGAAAGGATTCTTTGTTGCCTGGTATCAGCAAGCATGAAGAGCTCACTGCGGCAGAGCCAGACAAGACATCTCAAGTCCTACCCCTCTTGCTTTCACAGACAAGACAAGGCCCATGCCATTGTACAAGTATTTTAGCAGAAGCCCTATGACATTGCAAGTTGCCGCTCAAGCCACCCTCGTGGTGTTTGCTTTTTGTGGTTCGGGGTTCCTGCTTCATCCCACGCGCCATGGCGTTGCGATGACTCGGCGCGATTCGCAGGAGCCAAGGGCGGATTTTTCGGGAGCCGAAGCAAACTCAACCCTGGAACTTCAAATGCCAACCCTGCAACACCTCCTGCCAGACTCTGAGCGAAGATGGTGAGCCTCGTTCGCTGGCCATGCGCAAGGCCCGTGAGTGCCGTTGAGTGTGTCCTGGGCCTGGACGATCAAAGGGATCAAAGCGAATTTGTAAAGGAATACATCATTAATTCAGCGAGCATCTACGTCTTATCATCCTGGTTTTGTAATCCTTAGAGTATGTATGTCTTGCATGAGCCAGCGTTCGGCTTTTGTCGAAATGCCACACTTCCTTGGAATACAAGGCATTCCAGCCTTGACCTAAGCCATGCTGAGCCGGTGAGGCCGTCACGCTGCTCCGAAATTACCTTTACAAGCAGGACTCCGCTGTTTCGGGATCCCATTGGGCCCACCCGAAGTTAAAGACAAATCCCCTCTTCGAGCAGACCAAAACTCCCACCTTCAGGAGAACTCCCTCCTCAAGTCCTGGTTCAAGCACTTTGACACCAACATGCTCCTCAACATGCATTGGATTCACTAGTCGGCAGATCTGAGCAGCTGAGCAACAGACTGAGGAATGGCATCATCGAGAAGCGCGAGTTCTTGCAAAGTCAGCGCCCGATTCTCCAGGTACCATGAGAGACTTGTGTGCCTGCTGTGTGGGCCAGGCCTCTCCAAGATGTCGTCGGCACAAACTAGTCGGGGTGATGAGGAGCTCAGCAGCTCCGCAAGAGGGGCGCTCGTACAGGGGCTCCTGCTGCAGCTCGTACATCCAGCAACTTCCCCCCCCATGGTGCCTCCAGTCTGCCCGTCTGCAATAGGCTGCGGTCTGTTCCAGCAGTCTCATTGGTGGGAACAGAAACCAGAACCGCAGTTGCGAGGATCTTTGGAACGAGCTCGAGCTTCTGGACTCTGAGAGCATCAGCTTGCGGGCAAGCCCCCGCTGCTGGAGTTGAGCGACGGATGGTGCCACTGCATGACCCACGATCCCCAACTCCGCGCCAACACAACCAGTTGAACACCTTGAAAGACAGAAAGGCCTCGGGCCTACTAGGGTCAAGCCCGCCATCCCCCACTACTCACCAGAAGGTCTTTCCCCCAGAAAAAAAAGCCAGGAGATACACGAGGGCATGGCCACCCTCTGGAGCCGATTCCGGAAGTTCTGCGGCACCGCCTTCCTGGGCCGCTTGGCGGTTCTTTTTGCTGGGTCCAAGCCATCCCCCCCCCCTCTTTCCCCCCCCTCAATCATGGACGGAGGGTGCTGCTGGACGGCTGTGTTCTCTTCTGCGTGTTTTGGTGAGTGGATTTCTTGTTGCAGGTCTGTGCAATGCCGTCTTCAGGGTTTTCCGGAAATCTGTTGATTTGCCTTGTTGTTTTGCTGCATGTTTTGTTCGAGGGGTTGTTGGAAAATAGCTCTCTTTTACTTTCGGCTTTGTTGCGGATGAACCATTCTCCAGACACCAATCCTGACATCCAATGTCAGAAGACCACGAAGAAACATCAGCTCTGCATCTTTGCGGCTGGAAGATTCACGCAGACCAATGCCAGGCCCGAAGGACCTCCTGGCCAAGCTTCAGGGGCTACGGCTAGAGTCCGAGGATGAGGAGAAGAGGCAGACGGGGAACACCGGTTGCGGGACACACTGCAAAGGATTCGTACACTCCCCTGTATCTGAACCGCTCTGAGCATCTCTGAGACTTCTCTGAGCCTCCGGAAGCTCGTGGCAAACCCGGAAAGCCAGCAAAAACCAGTGCCGACCTTCACAGGCGTGTTGCGCCGAGCCCTGTCCATCCCTAGTTGCTCTCCAGGTCCAACCAGCGAAAGCAGGAGATTGCAACCCCGAGCCCCTCCAGTGAACCCTATGTTCTGCAAGTGTTCAGCAAAGTCTCTTGCCATTCTTCATTCTGCCAGTTCAGCGGCTGTTGCATGCAGAAGGCGAATGCTCAGCTCCAACTATCCACGCCTTCCCTTGTTAGCTTGTTATTGCGGAGCTGGTCTGTTGGTGCTCATGCTTAGCATTCTTTGCTATGTTGTTGTTTTTTGGAATCTTGGCCTTGATAGAACAGAAGACAGGACTTCGGCCTCTCCACCTCGTCCAGCATGCCACTGGCTGCGCGCATGGGAGGCTCGACCTGCCTTTGGTGCCCGGAATGCTCCTGATATGGAGTTCTGAGAGGTTAGCGTGGCAGTAGGTGTGTCCAGACAGTCCAGACTCGCTCTCAATCTTCAGCTCGAGAGATGGATCAGACGCCGCTATGCCTGTTCCAGTCGAGAACATGGCATCAGAACATGGCATCAGGGTTGATTTCGCTATGCTTCGCTTGGTCCGAGGCCAGCACGGTCCGTTGGTCGTTGACCAAAGGTCCGTGGCTTAGAGGAAGAGACTTGGCAGGTGTAGGTGAGTCAGCCCGGAAATAAATCCCAGAGCATCCAACAACCTAAGTAAGAATGACAGTTGCAGTAAGGTTGCTTATTGAAGCTAGGAAGCCTTGCATACGGAAAGCCAAAAAGTTCGTATCTAAGGTGTTGTTCAGGTCTTCTTATCACCCACTATCGGTACGTATGTGCCACCACGTTTTCCAAGAGCTAAATACTTTGAGAGGCAACGGTAGCGAAACTACACAATGTGCTGCATCGACTTCCAGGACTCTATGAGATCTCATTGTAGTGAATGCCAGTAGGCCCTATCGAGGGCGACAGCTTCATTCTGAACCGAAGATAGCCAAAAACGTTTCTTCAGGCAATGGGAAGGAAGCTTGCCCCGGTGTGGCTGGGTTGGAGGCGGCCCAGAGAACGCCTGGGAAAGTCTTGAGGAAGCCGCCAGAAACCCTGTAAAGGGAGCAGTGTGTGTGTGTGTGTGCGCGCGTGTATCGAGAGAGAGAGAGATGTATATATATATATATATATACATACATTGCATATATATATATATATATCTATGCAGAAAGATATACATGTAAGTACGAGCATAAATATAGGTTATGAATGTAAAATTGTATCGTGCGCGCGCGCGCGCGCGTGTGTGTGCGTGTGTGTGTGTGTGTGTGTGTGTGTGTGTGTGTGTGTGTGTGTGTGTGTGTGTGTGTGTGTGTGTGTGTGTGTGTGTGTGTGTGTGTGTGCACGTGTGAGTTTAAGAGTGAAACAAAGCAACAGAGCAAGAGTGCCAGGCCACGAGAGGTTGCTTTTCGAAGCTCTGGACCTACACGACGAGGGCCTGCTGGGCCAGAGGACCGGAGCACTTGTTCGTGTTTCGTGGCAGGCTTATTCGAACTTTTTTGGAACCCTCATGTGCAGATGAAGGAACTTCTTCTGGCTGGACCAGGAGGCCGGCTGCCTGGAGAACCCATGATCTTCAACAATCTTCGATGTTTTGGCCTCCGACGTAGCAGAATGCCGAAAGTACCCAAACAAGGCCGCTACCGCAACAGGCGAAGACTTGGCTTGAGCAGAGCTTTACAACAAAGAGATGTATGGAGGGTGCTGGGGCCTGATCAAGCAAGGTTTTACGCAGTCAGCTGTAGAGGCCCCCCACACAAACCCATGTAAGTGGAGCGCAGCACGAGCGCAGCACTGGAAGTTCGAGATCTCACATGTGGTGAAGGTCCGACGCTATGCCTTGAAGTGTGAGGCAAAGCAGAAGGCGCCCTGAGGGGGCGGGATCTTCATGTTCCCTACACCATCCTACGCCCGAAACATGTTGGGTGTTGGCCGCGGGATTCTGTAGCTTCAAGCCTTGTTCCAGGTTTACACACACTCCCACCCCTGAATGGACAAGCTACGGACGTGGACAAGCTAGAAACACTGCTTTTATGTCCATGGTTGTGAGTTGTGAGTGTCGAAGGCGTGATTCCATCAAAGGATGAGGCACGTGCCCAACCGTCCCCAGCCGAGGCGTCTGAGGATCACCGTGTGCGTGTGGCGGCGAGGTGGGTGTTCAACTTATGTTCACCAAGTACACCATGACACCGCCGCACCGCCCACTGTCCCGTTGAGTTCCAAATGGGAAGCCCAGCAGTCTCCAGGAAGAATCGTCAACGAGCACTGTCGGACTTCAAGGCGCCGCGTTCACGTAAACCACCACGACAACTCGAGGACCCCATTCAAAGGTCTCCCGCGAGTCTGGGAACCTCCTCGAAATCCCAGAGGCTCTGAAAAAGTTGCTAAACGCACCCAAACTGGAGATTGGATTCCCATGATTTCCCAACTCTGAAACTTTCGCGGAAATCTGAGATTCCCTCGGAGGCATACGTGAAGCGACACTTCGGTGACAGCTTCTTGGCAGCAAGGGCGTGGGGTTGACTGGGTTGACTACACAAGTTGGGGGTTTTAGGAGAGCTGATGAATGTTGCCGAAGGCATGCGCGAGGGCATCCGAACAACCCCCCTAAACCCTGCGGAAGCTCTTTGAAGTGCTTTTTGAAGCCCTTTGAAGTGCCGTTGTGTTACAAAGGGCGATGTCGGTTTGGGAATGCAAGGGGCCGATGCACTCCAGCGCCCTACACCTACAGACCTTGCACAGGAAAACACGAATCCACACGCCATCAAATGCCTGTGGCGCCTGTGCGAAGGCTACCACGCCTGGCGTCGGGCTCTAGACGTCGACGGCCGCATGCATAGCGGCCATACCGGCGCAGCAATATGCCACAGCAATATGTCGCAGCGCGATGTCAATGGCCACCAATTGGACCAGGCACCATGAACCTGCAGCGAGCCGAGCTCTTCAAGGCCAGCACTTTCCAGCGCATCTTACTGGAGTCCCCATTGCCTCCTCCCCATCCCTTCGGAAGGTCTGTCGCCACCTCGGATGGAAGGGCGACGTGCGGTTGCTCTGGCAGGCCTTGGATTCGGATGGCGCAGGCACGCAGAAGTCTCCTTTTTGCTTGCTCTCATTGCGGGTACTCTTCGCGAATCCACTCGATGTTCTCGATTCCAAGCTGAAGACGTGCATCAGGCACTGAAGTCTTGAAGTAGTCCAGCTTTGTGCCCCATATCACCAATTCCCTCGACATCGCTCTAGTGAACTTTCCCTGCGGCCCCAGAAATGTGTCAAAGACATCAAAGAAACAGCAGCTTGCCGCGACATGTCCGATCCTCGAGGCCGGTGACCACGTTTGACAAAGATCCCCGAAAATTGAGAGGATCGCGACTTGCATCCTTTCGATTTCGAAGCTCGCAGAAGAGGCAGAGAGCTGTCTCTCGAGGATTGGGACTCTCGACCGCTCGCTCGCGCGCTTGCGGGCGCTTGCACCTCAAAAGCTCACAGTCGGGAAAAGCTTCGATGAGCAAGGGAGAACATGCACAGGAGGGGCCTGCAGGCAGAGGCACCGGAGGAATTATGAATCGGAAGCGGGCTCGTGCGCGTGCCCTTCGCAACAGCCACGTGAACGTAGACAAGACAGGATGGAACCGACTTTCTTGCGGTCACTGGGCTTTCATTGCATATTGGAATCAAAACCTTTTAGCCGTTGCCAACGGGTGGGCGGATGTGGGCAGTCAATAGTGCCAAGTGCTTTTCAACTTAGGGGCTCCCCCGGACCTGCGAGGAGCTAAAAGATCAAGCCCGAAAGGGTTTCACCCCAGAAGTCCGTAGCTTGACTCCCTGGGCCCTGTGTACAGTTGCTAGGCATGATGGGCTCCATGTGTGCCGTTTTCAAAGACACGGGATCTCATGCACCTGCTTTTGAAAGTGTCAGAAGCTGATTGAGCATACCTTGGGAAGCTTGCAGCTGCAAGAAAACCTGGTTTTCCCGGGACTTGCTCTGCTTCTTCGGACCCATCAGCGCAGCTCGTTGCAGGCACCTGCTCCCTCCAAGAGCTCGACGCCCGCTGCGCCCGCCAGCTGGCGCGTTTCCGGCGTTGGGCCGAGGCCGGATTTCGCCCCCTAGGCCTTCGGGGGGGCTGTTGCTCGTGCTGCTGTATGCTGCTTGCTCCAAATCTAGATCAGCGACCAACCCCTTGTAGAAAGCAATGTGAGTGTGCTCGTATCAAAACTTGTTTTTGTTGCCGCAATAAAAAGATTCTTCAAGTTTGTTTGGTAGCACGATCAAAGGTGCGCACCTTCCTGTGTTTTTCGCGACAAGAGAAACCCCTCCAATCGCGGCACAAGAAGCTCAAGCGTCTTTCGTGCTCTTCGGAAGGTGAAGTTTGGCATCCGCCCTGCGCATGCGCTGTGGAAGGCTGGGCATCAAGGGCCTCAGCTCCTTGGGAGGGTCAGGAGACATGCCGAAGCGAGGCAACCGAGGACTTTCATCTGCAGCGCTGCCACACTTCCAACATCTGCCAACCATATCAGTAGGGGTCTGATCTCGGTTCTCAGGACACACCCACGAATCTGCGAGAGTGGAACGTTCTCCAGCTTGCTTTTAGGAAGTTGCGCTCCACTGCCCTGAGACTAGCATGGCCAGTTTGGGAAGTGTTCGGAGTTGGGCCCGAAAAGTGATATCCAGAGGCGGTGGACCGACGGAACAAGTACCGCCTATCACCTGAGACGTTCCAGAAAGAGCTGGGGGGCCCAGAGCCACAATGAATCCTGCGTGCATTGCATGTGCTTGCATGTGCAGCACAACTGCCAAACCACTGCACGACGGGCCCCTTTGCTCGAAGGGTCGAGTGCCGGCCTTCTTCGTCTAAGGCCCTTCCCCCCCCCCCCCCCCCCATGGTTTTTCGTGTGGAAAACCCGAGGTGCCTGAGACTTGGGGTGGAGTTCCAAGAGTCTGCCTGGCCATGTTTCCGACTGTGCGCACGTCGAGCTTTTCTCCGAGGGGGTTTTTGGAATGCTTTGAGGGACTGGGGGAGCTTGTTGTGGAATGTTTTGGAGAAGCTCAAGACTTGCCCAACGCGCTCGAATGACCTTATGGCAGGCAGGAGCTAAGCGAGCTCACACGCTGGTTGGATTGGCAGGAGAAGAAGGCGCCGGATGCGTTGAAATTGGTGCATGGCTTTTCATCGATGTAGGAGTCCGGGATGCGCACTTCAAGCAGCTTTGCAGTGTCGGCTCAAACTTGAGGGAGCTCCAGACCGAAGCCTTGCAAAAAAAGCACTGAAGACTTTTGCCGAAAAGTATGGAACCCTAATCCTGAGGCCCTCACGCTGGACGACCTCCTCTTCATGGACATTTGGAAGCCGCCGGCCTATCTGGTGGCCGAACCGAACCCAGCAGCTTGGCTTAAGAGTAAGGCCTTCTGGAAAGAGAAGTTGTCCGACGGCACAGCCCAGGAGGCAGCAACGCAGATACGGACGCTGTTAAAGGAGCCGCTTTGGGGGGGGGGGTTGCTTGGAACCTTCCCAGAGTTCTCCAGAGGCGCTCAAAGAAGGCCCTCTCCGCCCTCCCCCCAAAACACTTCACAACACTCAACACATATTCTGTATTTCAATATCTATGTATCGCTCTGCCTCTCTCTCGCTCTCTCTCTCTCTCTCTCTCTCTCTCTCTCTCTCTCTCTCTTCACAAAGCACTTCACAACACACTTCACAACACTCTTCACACACAAACGCGCATGCTCTGGAGGAGAAGTATGGCCATCTGCTGCGTGCCTGGCGGCAGGTGCCATTGCGTTGAAAGTATGGTCCAATGGCAGTGCTTATGGCAATGTTTGGGGCGTTTAGGGCATCCGAAGGGCGTTGTTTGATGTGGACCCCGGCTTCGTCACGGTAAAGACACGGCGTTGGGAAGGTTTGCATCTCCTGTCCTGGGCACCAAAACTAAAAAGACTTATACAGGCCTTTCGGGTGCAGGAGTTCCTTGCTGTGTCGATGTTGTCGGGAGTTGGGAGATCTGTGATGTGGCATAAGCCTTCTTGGGGTAGCTTTGTCTCACCTAGGGTTCCGTCACCCCCACTGCGTACTGCGTTGGGTGAGAACTTGGAGCATGAAGCCGGGGCCAGGACCCGCTGAGTTCTCTTGTGCAGATGGCAGTCTCAGATTGCTCAGGCATTGTAGCCAGAAGCAGCATTGCAGAGCGGGTCCCCTCAAACCGCCGGCTGGTTTCATGATTTCAGGAACCTCAGTTTCTATTCTGGGCTCAGGGTGGAACATCCAAAGCTGTCCCTGAATTTTGCGGGCTTTGCTCGTCAGAGGCAAGGAGAGTAGTTCTCCTTACCGAAGCCTTCGCTCCCACGTCCCAGGCGATGGACAAAGACAACTCCAACACCTGCAACTGGCTGCTCAGACGCATATCGCAGATTGTCAGCAGCAGTGGTTGCAGAAGCACCCAGGCATTATGGAAGCCTAGTCGTGTCCAGTCTACCTATCGTGCAGTACACTCGCACTAAGCGAAGGTACGAGTTTCTGGCCGCGTCCCGCTCGCTAAAATTCGCGGGCGACGTGGCCGGCGCATGGCTGCACTTCGACAAGGATCGGGCCTGAACGGGATTTACGGGTCCTACGTTTCAAGGGCTTGTTTGTGCTGCTACGGCTTCTTGGCTGTCCTGGCTGTTTAGGCTTTCTGGCTTCTTGCTTTGTTGGGGATACCCATCAACAAATCAGAAAATACCAACGAAGACCCCAAAAAGAATGTATCGAAACGGAACGGTTCAAGCTGTTTGGAACCCATGAAAAGAGCCTTACAAACCGCGGCCCGGTGGCCCCATCAACGAAGGCCTACAAAATCTCCAAAAGCAGCCCCCCCGCCCCCCCCCCCCCACTTGAGAGGGTACCGGTGCCCTGTCGCTCCCTGTCCTCCAAACAGCGGTGTTTGTGTTTGGCAAGCTGACCGGAATCTGCCGCGCAACCTCTTCTTACCCGTGATTGACATAAACACATCCCTTGGGTTGTTGATGCACAGAACATGAAAGGTAGGCCTGTCTTGGCGAAACACCTTGATGCCGCTCCACTACATCCTTCGCGCAACTGCGCACCACTGCAACACTGAACAACATGTACCGGAAGAGACTCCGGATAGCAAAAGCCTCAGCAACAGGAACCGGTTTGGACGCTTGCGCGTAACGGCCCCCCCCAAGCTGGGACCTCAAAAGGCTCATTGCCACAGCTCCCCAAGATCACATCCTTCGTGTCTCACCGGAGTGGGACCTCCGGACAAAATTTCAAACAAAAAATGGAAAGCGTCAGTTCAATAGGCCGGTGGCCATCATGGAGTTCTGCAGAGTCCTCAAGGCAGTCAACGCAGTCGGAACCAAATGTCGCAACCACAACGGCTGCCAGCTTTCACCGCACCTCCGGAATGGGGCCAAGCTCAATCACCGCAGTTAGGGCATTCCACAACTTTGCACAGAAACTCTTCAATGCCATTCTGACTCGTGCTGACTTGTGCTGACTTGTGGGATGAGTACCTTGCAAAGCGCTCCAACAGCGGGTTGTTCTCGCGGAGCCGACTCTGCTTGAACATGCATTTCAGGTGCCTATGCGCAAAAGTGAGATCTGCTTCTAAGTCCGAGACCCACGCCGCCCCGGGTTTGTTTCTTTATCTATGGTCTTTTGCCAAAGCCGCGCTCACATTTGCCCTACAAATGTCAACGAGGCCCTGAGGGGATAAAGGGCCATTCAAAGAAAGGAACCAGTGCCAGTCTTCGGGATCACTGTATTTCCCTCGACTTTGGCAGCATGACAAGTGCGATGCAACAGAGGGAGAAAGAAAGACGAGGGGGGTGGGGAAGATGGAAGGCGAGAAAGAAAGAAAGGATACCCATCCATCAAGAGTAGACTACACAGCGGCTGTCCTGAATCAATCATTATCAGCGGCATCACCATTCTCACCGTTCTTTTTGTTGATGTTCTCGCAAGAGAGAACGGTCAGCCAGGATCTCAGTGGATCCATCTCCTTGGCGGAGATCGCCACTCTGGCAAAAAGCTACCCGCAGCCCGAAGAAGCGAGAGAGAGAACACATAGGGATGCCTCTGTCAACTTAGATCTTTTGCAAGCCCTGGGATTTGGGGGCTTCGGGAGATTCTGGGAGGTTGTCCTTCTTGTCCCTGATTTGAGGAGCTCTTTAAGAACTCCGAAGAACTTTTGGCATCGCGTGCCAAGGATCCCCAGTCCAACGACATGCTTGTGGAGTTCAAGAAGTGGCGCTGGCCGCAAGAGAAGTCGCAAAAGAAGGGGCTCCTGCAGCTCCTAACAAAACTCTGCAGCTCCCCTTCCCTTTCCCTTCCCTTCCCGCTCCACCTTTCCCTTTTCGATTTGGGTCTGTCCCCACTCTTCAAGCCAAAAAATATTTGCAGGTCGTTTGCATGCCACTGCGCTGGAAAGACTGGTTGCCTAGTTGACGAAACTTGTGGACACAGAGCCCCCCCCGCGCTTCAGTGGTAACTGTACTTGTGGGCGTTGTTGGCATCTCCATGGGAGCAACACACCTTTGAAGCCTTTGCGAAGTCAGAAGGTGGGCCGACGGCGAGTTCGGCGGGGTTCGTGCAGCTTTTCGTGTTTTGGACAAGGCCTGGCACGCAAGCTATTTGCAAGCACTTCTTCGCAAGCGGACCTTGGGGGAGATTTCGAGATTTCTGAAGCATCAGGGCTGCGACCAGGGCTTGTGAGGCACCCGGGTTTGGGAGAACATGTTTTTTTAACGGCGCTGTGTGCAAGATAGTGATGCGGGAGTTAGTCACCTGGATGGGTGCCTACACATGCTGGGTGTGTTGTGTTATTTCAACTTTTTTCTTGGGTGCACTTCGCCCTTGAGGCAGCTGTTAAAGATGGCAAGTTGTGTACAAGGATGTACCCCCTTCAGGGGAGGAAGCCCGGAAAGCTCGCATGCCCCTCGAGGACAAGTCCGGGCAGCTTTCGATCTCCGAGTTCCGCGTCTCTGTCCCTTGTCTCAGGGAGGGCCTGGCAACGTTCTTTTGTGGGGAGTCATGCCGAGATCTGAGGGACTTGTGGAGCAGTTCATGTTTGTTGAGACTTTTGCAGAGCCTCTCTCAAGGTTCTGAGCTTCGGTTTCACTGGAGACGAGGTGACGCTGTTCAGGCGCCCCAACATGGCGCAAGACACGACAGTAACGAAACGAGAAGATGCAGTTCCACGCCCAGTAAGAGCCACTGCATCATGCTTAGAACTCTAACATGTAACAATGTAACCGAGTCTAGCCCATAGGTGGGGGTTGACAAGGTCGATGGGGCTTTCAATCAGGTAGCTTTGCAGATTGAAACGTGGTGAGTGAATGAGTGAGTGAGTGTGTGTGTTCTTTCTCTGCCAGCGGTTCAAGCGCAGAGCATACTGTAGAGGCCTGTCTGATCATCTGCATGTCTTGCTGTGCTTGCCGTATAGCAGCTTCAGAGCAGGTTGAGAGTTGAGCGCAGGCGCTCAGGACGTAATGAGTCAGCATATGGAGGAGCAAGCGCCGTCCCTTCTAGAGACATGCGTGCTGCTTCGCCTTTGGAGGCCAGGCGGTCGAGGCCTTCCACCAGCAGTGCCCCCTGCAGTGCTTGAATATCTTCGGCCTTCGGAGCTCCTGCTCCAGCTGGGCCGTGGAGTCCTTGTTGTGTCATTGGAAACTGGCCGGGCACTGCGGTTTTTCGATGCATCGAAGTTCGGCAACGCGGACGCGATTCTGGACCCTGCAGCCATCTACGACTTCACCTTGCACGGGGAGGTGCAGGCCCACCAGACCACATCGGGGTTCGAACTTTGGGTGGGTCATCAAACCAGCTGCAGGCAGGCTGGGAGGCCACAAGTTTGGCAGACGTTCCGGGACAAGACTTGCTCAACAGCCTACTCTGTGAAGCCTGGATCAGTGGGCACCGGCTGCATCGCAGAACGGACAGGGGATACTCTGAGAGTGCACCTAGGATCGGTGGCTGTTTCCAGCACACACAGTTGGCTAGCGACAGCAGCTTGGAGAAGCAGGCAGGAGCTGGAGATCACCATTTGGGATGCCGCTCGCGGTCGCGCACGTGGCAGATTCACATGTGATGGATGGTACCAACACACTTTCTCTGCACGGAGCTTCTCGATGTTTGCCTGCGGGTGCATGCTCGTTGCGTGCGGCTCTAAAGCTGGAAGGGGGGGAACCATGTATGCCGCTGTCAATGTGTACAAGATCACCGAGACTTGGTTGCCCCAAACTGTAACCTGCCCACTGTAACCTGAGGATCTGAATGGATCTGACTACTAGGGCCCCCCTGAAAGTTGTGTTTTCTAGGCGGGGGGGGATTCAAATCCGTACTTCTCCGGGTCATCCCGGGCTTTCCATTCTTCGCGCGATCTCTTTGCTATTCCCAAGCTTGGACCCTGAGTTTAGGCACCGTAAGGGGTAGGTCAGGAGCAGATGATTTGCGCATCGATCTGAAGAAAAGCGGTCAGGAATCGCAGTTTCTGCTGCAGCCTCCAGCTCCAAAAGTCCGAAATCGCACATTCCATAGCGTTTAACAGCCCTACAACCCCTAACATGCTGTCGGTCCCTCCTTTTGTTTCAGTACATTCCCTGTAGGGCTTATGCCTCTCTTTACATGTTTTTTTGGCGCATTTGTGGGATTCTGGCTCGGCAGGGTTCAGGCCGAAAAGGTCATCAATTATCCGAGGGGTTATAAATCAAATCTTCAGATGAATCCTGTAGAAAAAGCCATCACCAGCAGGCACCCGGCACAGTTGCAAGAGCCCAGAAGCCTGAAATACACTGAAATACCTTGATTGCACCTTGATGTTCGACGTAAAGAAGCACCCAGGAGACGGCTGTGAGACAGCTCCGCAATGATCCCTTTTGTTCCGAGAACGAGTTCGTCGGCTTTGAGTTCTTGTCAACTCACCCCACGGGCATCGCGGTGTGTTTGGATTTCCCGGAGCCGCGGATTGTGAGCTGTGCCTTTGCGCCGGCAGGTTTGACACAACCGCGGGAGGTGTTTTCTTCTCGGGGCTCGCATGGATTGATGGGCTCGTCCTGGATCCAAGAAAAAGAAGTCCTAGTCGGATGGGCGAGGCACGAGCACGACCGTGAGGAATGGTCGTTCCTGGAGGCCTGGCACACGGTGCAGGGCGTCGCTCGGCGAAGGGCCTGGACTGCCACGCTGCGCGATGACCTGCTCTTTGTGGCCACAAGGCCCAGGGGGTGCCGAGCACTGGAAGAGCTTCTCGGGGCCGGCGAGGAGCCGGGGCACCTGTGGAAGGATTCACAAGACTGAGCGGGCAGCGAAAATGATGCCAAGGTGTTCTTAAAGGCGGCCTTCTTCTCTTTCTTCGTTTTGGGACAGTCCGTTTCTGGTGATGGGTCGGGCCGGGTGTTTTTTGGATTCGGGATTCAGGTTGAGAAGCCTAGGTCTCAGGTCAAAGGATACAAGTGGCGGGCCTTTCACTTACGAACGCTGAAAACAGTTCAGCTTGCGATGCGGTCGAGGAGTTTTCAGGCCTTCAGGCTTGGCTTGAAGGGTATGGGTCTCTTCAAACACATAATGAGGTCGGGGCCACGTGGGAATTTTTTGAGCAGCTCTAGATACATGCAGATGCATGCACCATGCGTGCGTAAGAGACTTCAGACTTTGGGGTTGGATCTCGATTGGATGCTCTTCAAAGGTGCAGATATAGTCAAACATGTCAAGCTGCTGCACACCCTGAGGTGTTTGGACAGCGGGCAGGGCAGACTCCATCCACATGAGGTGGGAAACAGGGTCATGTTTCGGATCTGCTGTCGGCTTTGTCGTTCTTCAAGTGTGTCTTTGTGACCAAGCACATCCAGCCGGCCGCCTGCGACTCTTGTCCCTTGTACATGGGAACTATACATCTCTCACAGTTTTGTTGCAAGAAGACCACTGGCAGCTAGCTCGCACGGTTGCTGGAAGCCCTCATGGAGGCCGCCCGAAGAGTTCAAAGGAGTTTGCTTGTCGGTGTCCCTCCCTATTTGAGGTGCACTTCCTTGACGATTGGGACACCGCCAGCCAGGCCTTCAATCTCTGGAAACCGGGGTACACACACACGCACACGGCCCATCGTGAAAAGTAGGATGGTGGATCCATGCGGAGCTTTAGGTTTTGGTGACTCGCAGGGAGGTCACCGGAAGGTGGCCCCTAGCTTCACACACCAGGCGCTTCCGCCCTACGTTCCACCGTCCTTCCTTGCCTCCTGGCTCTCCAGGTCTTTCTGTCACTCCGTCACTGCGTCACTGCGTTACTGCGTCACCCTGTCACTCCCTAGAGCCCTTGGGAGCCCCAGGGAGAGTCAGCTGAGAGTCCTGATTCAGCTCTGTAGGTCCATGTAGGTCCAGACATGTCCACAGACATGTTCAGGATGCCCCAGTGAGTCCGCCCCATTTTTCCAGGATGCTTCGGAGCCAAGTGTCGACTCGCTGCCTGCACGGCCTCGCAGCCAAGGAGGCCCCCAGCTTCCATATGTGCACATAACAAGAAAAAGGGTAATACAACTAAAAGTAACACTGATAATCAGACGAAGAATAAAAATCGTATGAAATATATAGTAAATCATCCCCGTATTAGCCGTTGCGGCACAGAAGGCTTTCAGCACACCGGCGTCGACGGTTCATCCGGGCCAAAGCTGCTCCCCCGAAACTCCGCAAGAAGACCCGTGCCAACAAGCTTCGAGAGAAGCGAAGTCTTCAAAAGGCTGCCAAAAAAACCCACACAAGGCCTCGCAAAGTCCCCAGAGTGCTCAAAGCCTCCTCAACCCTCTCGGCTTCCCCTTTCACATAAAGGCTGGTCCCGGGCGACCGTTCGCCGGCCAGAGACCTCGATGCAGGTGCCGAAAGCAGGTTTGTTGGCTTTGCTTGCATCTTTCTGTGGTCAGGCTCGAGTGTCTTGTGGTTGGTCAGGATTCGCCGGGGGTTTTGCATGTTGGGACTGAGCGGCCTTCATTTTTGCCGAGAAACGAGTTTCCCACAGCTGTGGGATGCAGCCATGAGATGGAGTAGACATCCCAGACATCCCTCCAACAGCAATGCAAGAAGTCCACAGGAGTCCACAGCCTGCCCAACCCTTTGAGGAATCCATCGTGGAGTTCTACACAGACGGGCCAGGACCTGGCAGCTGCCTGGCACACACGCTTGGCTTTTTGGGAATCCCGGAATTGGGTGACAGCCCGAACAATGCTGCGAACGCTTGGCCTTGCAACTTTGCAGCCTTTATCATCCTTTAGGCTACGAGCTTCCCTCAGCTTTTGCGGCGAAGCCAAAGACGCCAACTGCCAGGCAGGATTCAGAGGTTGTTGGAAGGGTCGCTTGAGGTTTCCGGAGCTGTGGTTTCCACACCATTTGGCACCATTCATGCATCATGCATCACGGGGTCGACGTCTGCTCACATCAGCTCATGACTCATGACTCGTGACCCGCTTCAGCGCGCCCTGTCCGCCACATTGGACAAGTCTTTCACATTCGGCGCATTCGCTCCGGCAGCTGGGCTCTCTCTCTCTCTCTCTCTCTCTCTTATAGCCGTGCAGAAAGATCAAGGCGGCAACCGGTCGGCAGCCGCTCGCAAGGGAAACTTTGCTCAAACTCCCACACGCTTCTAGTGGGGTGGCCTACACACACACACGTTCTGTATCCTGCAAATCGATCTTGGATGTCCCCTCATGGAACGCTGTCTCCTGGTCCTGTGACTGGCTTTCGCTCTCTGGAGCTTGAGCACGGGGTGCATCTACTGGAAAGCGCAACAGCGACAGGATTCGAGCAAATGGGGGCGTTCTCATCTTAAAGAAAAAAGTACTCGAATAAGTAACATGCCAGTGCCCCGCTGCCCCACCGGTGTGCCACCAGTGTTGCCACCAGCGTAGGCTCCAGTGTGCCAGGCATTCTGGAACCTGGAGCTTCTGCCGGCGGCCTGAGGCAGGAATCAGAAGTGTGGGGGGTGGGGGGGGGGGTTATCCCCGAGGATTTCCGAAGACTCCTGGTCTGGTCTCCCAACGCTTCTGATCTTGTAAGTCGGGTCATTTTTTGGTTCCCTACTGTACCGGCAGTAGCATAGTGTACGAGCACAAGTATCGAGAGTTCATACGGTGGGCTTCTGGCCCTCGGCAAGGGCAGCGGAGGGGGGGGGGGAAGCGACAACGCAGTGACA